GCTTTTTGGGTTTTTTTTGAGGCAGGGTCTCTCTCTGGCTTTGGAGGCTGTCCCGGAACTAGCTCTTTATAAACCAGACTGGTCTCGAACTCACAGAGATCTTCCTGCCTCTGCCTCCCGAGTGCTGGAACTAAAGGCGTGCACCACCTGGCTACCATTTCCAAATTCTATGGTAGTGATTCCATCTCTGTCCTAGTCCCAGCACCTTTACAGGGTTTGTTTTGAGCTATTCTTTGAATTTTAGAAAAATATCCATATCGCTGGAGAGATGGTTCAGCCTTTAAGAGCACTGGCTGTTCTTCCAGAGGTTCTGAGTTCAATTCCCAACAACCACATGATGGCTCACAACTATCTGTAGTGAGATCTAGTGTGGTCTCTGGTCTGCAGGCATACATTCAGACAGAACACTGTATACATAATAAATAAATAAATCTTTTTTAAAAATGTCCATATTATTCTCTTTTCTGTCTGAATTCCTGTGTCTTACAGAACAAAGCAGGGAGTTTTGTAGACCTCAGGATCTTGGAGAGAATGGGAAGCTAATTAAAAACTAGTTTCTAGTATCCCAGATAACTCTGCATTCTTGCTTTATAAGCATGAAAGCTGTAGGTTGAGGCCACAGTCTTTATCTGTTTTTGCAAAGGAGACCAGATTTTTGTCTTCTGAAGTGGAAGTAAGGGAAAATTTAAAAATAGATGGTGCTACTTTTGAAGTTCATTTTGTTCAAATTTAGCACACTATAACCATATTTTGTGGTGTTCTTTGTAGGTGGAAGTTTCTGTCTGGCCAGCAGCTCCCAAATAAACAGACTGAGGCTTATATTAATTACAAATGCTCAGTCAATAGCTCAGGCTTGTTACTAGTTAACTCTTACATTTTAAATTAGCCCATATTTCTTATCTATGCTCTGTCACATGGTTTGGTACCTTTTCTCAGTACAGTATACTTATCTTGTTTCTCCCTGCATCTGCTGGCAATGACTCTGACACTGCCCTTCTTCCTGGCATCCTTAGTTTGGCTTTCCCGCCTAGCCTTATCCTGTTCAGCCATTGACCAGTCAGTTTCTTTATTAAAGCAATCACAGCCACAAATCTTCACAGTGTGCAAAAGGATTATTCCACAGAGGTTCTTTTTACTGGACAGTATGCAGAGGGCATTCCTAGCTAGAGATGTGATGTCACCTTTGGATTTTGACGTGTTCTAAGGCCTATGTCAGCTGGCAGTCTGTTCTTTTCCTCTTCTTGTCACAGACACACACACACACAGACACACACACACACACACACACACACACACACAGAGAGAGAGAGAGAGAGAGAGAGAGAGAGAGAGAGAGAGAGAGCCTAGTGTCCTGCAGTTTTCCCAGTATGTGAATCTAATCAGCTTGAGTAATAACACCTTGTCCAGCAGTAGCAAATCTGTGCTAGGCCTGTGCAGAGTGCTCTCTTCTTCATGCCATCTCTGTGAGACCCTCAGTGGAATGTGTTACCTTGAACCCAGACTTACAGGTAAAGCCTTATTGCCATCAACCCAGGGAAAGGCAAACAAGTTGATATGCACACCCTTCTTGGGCTTTGAGTCATGGTTTAGAAAATAGGAGCATCTTAGTCTGTTGTCTGCATTCATGTGCACTGTCTGGTGGCCTAGCACAGCATAAATCTTTCTCTGGCAGATATGTGACTTGCATGTGGAATAGTCATGTTGACATTTGCTGTGGCACTGTCCTTGAATCTGTGTCCACACCTGATTTGGTCTCTGTAGGTCATTCACTGTCTAAAGGCCTACCTGATTTGCTTTCATGTTGGATAGCCTTCTTCGGAAAGCAAGTGAAAAACGCCATGACCCCATCCCTGCAAACAGAGGGTGTTGGCTCTTGGTTTGTTGTACCGAAGGGTTTGAAGTGTGATTGTCACTGTCACTTTAATTTTACCCATTTATTCTGCAAGTGTTCTACAACTGTTGGTTCTTCTGGGCCTCCCTGTTGGTCTGCTGGTGCAGCAGCAGGGTATTTTTAGGAGATAGAGAGAACAGAGGCCTCCCTTTGGGGTGAAGAAAGTATGAGCCAATGAGTTAGGGCCTGTTAGTTCCTGAAGGTCACAGAAGTTGCAACAGCCAGTTTCCAGGTCAATCCTAAGAGCCTGGGGACCTGTCACAAGGTCTGAATACAGCTTCTCTGTGTTTTCATCATTTGATACCCACCCAGGTGTTGTCAGGACTATAGGCCAAATAACAGTCACTTTGTCAGGCTTTCAGGGAGCCAGTGCTGTTCATTCAGTGAAGGTCAATTCCTCAGGTGGGTGAGGATGGAAATATCACCCAAGCAAATGAAGAGGTTAGTGATGGAGGGAGGCACTCTGAGAAGGCCTCGCTGAGGGAGAGCAGTACCCAATAGACTGGCAGTGTGTCTGCTGCCTGCAGGAGACAATGACAAGCCCTCTCTATGTAGCTTAACCTGGTCTTTTACTGAGGATCCTTCTACCTTCACCTTTCTTGAATAGCTTGAGTTACAGGTGAGAGGAGCCATGCTTAGCTTCCATTTCACTATCAGAGAGCCAGATACCTGGAAGGATATATTGTAATCTTGTTCCTTATTCTTCTTGGTACCATCTGCTATTTGCTGCAGGCTTGGCTCTGTCTTGCTGTTGTAGATACCCCCTACACGTCAAAGGCTGAGCCCATCTGCTACAGGAGATCTCTCAGACCCCATCTTTCCCCAGCCATTTAGTTGTCTTAAACATCCGTTTATCCTGGTGTGTCTCCAGCACCTACCCACCACCAAGTGTCCTCTTCTCATTTGAGACATCTTTCAAGTCTCAGACCCTCTGTTACTCTAGACTCTGTTCACCCACGGTAACCACGGCTCAGACTTGTGTTGCCAATGTATAGGTTAAGACTTTGTTTCATCAGATCACCAGAAGATATCTAAGACTAAGCTCCTGAGCCTGGGGTTTTTCACAGAAGTGTGGGTCTCAAGTAGCTGATCCACTTCCCACTTTGGAGGGGGTACTTCTTGGGAGACCGTGTGGCTTAATGCCTACAGGTCCCATATGAGCCATATGAATGCCTTGAGTATAGAACGTGTAGGGCCCTGCAGAACTACTGTCCTTGTGAACAAGCAAGACCATAGGCCAGAGCCAAGGTGAGCCAGCCAGCAAGCAGAGCCTTCAAAGGCTCCCCACATAGATATGATCAGCCAACCATGGGACCCCAGTGGTCTAGGGAGTGAAAGATTGGATCTTTAAGCCCTTGGGAAACAATGGGAAGATGCTTAGAAATCCTTATCATTTTTTCCTTTAATTTGAATTTTTATTTTATTTTTTATTTATTTATTTTATTTATTTATTTTTTATTGGTTCAAATTAGGAACAAGGTAGATGCTTAGAAATCCTTATCATTTTTAAGAAATTATTTATTGGGCTGGAGAGATGGCTCAGAGGTTAAGAGCACTGACTGCTCTTCCAGAGGTCCTGAGTTCAATTCCCAGCAACCACATGGTGGCTCACAACTATCCATTATGAGATCTGCTGCCTTCTTCTGGTGTGCAGATATTCATGGAAGCAGAATGTTGCATACTAATAAATAAAAAATCTTTTAAAAAAAGATATTATTTATTTTCATGTGTATGTGTATGGTCTTCTTGTTTTTTTTGGGGGGGAGGAGCTGAGACAGGGTTTCTCTGTGGCTTTGGAGGCTATCCTGGAACTAGCTCTTGTAGACCAGTCTGGTCTTGAACTCTGCCTGACTGCCTCTGCCTCCCTAGTGCTGTGACTAAAGGCATGCGCCACCACTGCCTGGCGTATCTGTATGTTCTTATATGAGCGCATCTGTACCATGTGTAACAGCCCATAGAGGGCAGAAGAAAGCATCTGATCCCCTAGAACTAGAGTTGAGCACAAACCTGGGTCCTGTGCAAAAGTAGGGTTTCTCTGTTTAGCTTTGGAGCCTATCCTGGCACTCGCTCTGGAGACCAGGCTGGCCTCGAACTCACAGAGATCCACCTGCCTCTGCCTCCCGAGTGCTGGGATTAAAGGCGTGCGCCACCAACGCCTGGCTAGTCCTACTTATCTCAAAGAAAAAAAAAAGTGGGGGGATGTGAATGTGAAGCCCTGCTGTAGCAGGCTTTCTCTTGAGCCACCAACCAGCTCCCAAATCATGACATAGAGATTTATTACTAGTTATGAATGCTCAGCCTTGCTAGCTCTTATAACTTAACCTGTTTCTCTTTATCTACATTTTGCCTCGGGGCTTTTTACCTTTCTTTCTTTCTGTATGTCTTACTCTCTAGATGTTGCTATTGCTGGCTGGCTGGCTGGCAGGCAGCTGCCTGGTTTCTGGTTCCAGTCATATCCTGGAATCATGGTTTGACTGGAACCAGAAACTAAGACCTGCTCTTACTTTCACTGAAGACATTACTTTCTCCCTCATTCTCTTCTCCTTTGCCTAGATTTCTCCTCCTTATTTTCTCTGCCCACCAGCCCCACCTATCCTTTCTCTGCCTAGCTATTGACCATTCAGTTCTTTATTAGATCAATCAGGTGCCTTGGACAAGCAAGGTGAAACAAATGCAACACATCTTTACGTAATTAAACAAATGCAGAAGAAACAAATGGAACACACCTTCACATAGTTAAAGTGATATTCCTCAACATAAATAAATCTTTACATAGTTAAAATAATATTCTACAACAATGTAGACCAGCCTGGCCTCGAACCCACAAAGATATAACAGCCTCTGGCTCCTCTTATTATTTTTCAAGTGGGACTTTGCTTGACAAAGCCTACTAGATGGGACCAGCCCAGGAACCATATGTTTGCTCAGGATTCTGCCTTAGAGAATACCAGTGTGAGCATGGGGAGACAGGACAAAGCAGGACCACAGCAAATCCTTGGATCTTTCACTTCAGCATGCTTTTCACTGATTTTATCTGACAGGGGACCCCCCCCCAGGGATGTCAGGGTCTGTAGAACTGGACTCTCATGTGTTTGCTCTCCTTTCTCAGCCCCACAGAATCCTCTGATTCCTCTTGTCCTCACAGACCCAAGAAACCAAGATGGCAGCAGCTGGACTTATGCCACTGCCAGCAGGACCTCAGGTGAGTGGTCCCAAAAGCTTATTCAGTGGCTTAGCTAAAGCTCCTCTAGTTCCATCTGTGCCCAAGCAGTCCAAATATCACTGCATCTCCTGAACTCTATCACTTCTTCCTACTGAGGTCTTGTGACTCTAAGGGGCCGCCACCAGTCTCCGGAGTCACTTGTACCACCTGTCAGATGTGGAGTTACTCAAAACCCGGTCGTTCCAGGTCAAGGTGACCTTCGAGGACGTGGCTGTTCTGCTGTCTCAGGAGGAGTGGGCCCGCTTGGGCCCTGCTCAGCGGGGCCTCTACAGAAATGTGATGATGGAGACCTACGGCAATGTAGTCTCACTGGGTAAGACTCCTTGAGGGCTCCATCTGTGTGAATTTGTGCCCTGGACTGCGTGTGTGTGGGGGGGGTTCCCAGGGGAGGAAGCTGCTGGGTAGAGGGAGACTCGAGGCAAACTGATCCTGAGGCTTGGCACCTCCCAAGTGTTCAGCTCCAATAGGATGGAAGACTTGTCCTTTTCTTGTGCCTGCACTGAGCATGGATTAAGGGAGTATTTTAGCAAATAGTGTATAATCCAGAGACTTCCCCCTCGTGAGCAGGACTCCCAGGATCCAAGCCTGTTGTGATCTCCCAGCTGGAGCGAGGAGAAGATCCATGGGTCCTGGATGGGCAGGAAACTGAGCAGTGCCTGGGAAGTGGCCACTCAGGTGAGTAAGGAGACCTGCTCTTACTTTCACTAAAGACATCTAGTTCAGATGGAGTCACTGATGGAAGAAGCTTTCATTGGTCAGGGGAGGGTTCTGTCATTTTTCTCCCGACACAATGTCCACAGACCAGGAGGTCCTGGGCCAAGCAGTAGTCCATAGAAGTAAGTGTATGTAGAGTAGAGACATGGGATGGTGAACCGTGTGACAAAGGAGAAAGCAGAGTTTAGCTGAGCTGTGGAAAGGCAAGGGATTTTGCCGCTGCTCTGAAAGACCATAGTTGGCTACCCAAGTAATACTGGGATATTTAGGCTCTGAGGGTTACTTGGTTGATTTAGAACAAGGCTCTTAGTATAGAAGGGAAATTTCTCAACCTGATACTAGTGGTGAAGGACTGAAAGTTTGTGCTCAGTTATGAAAGAGTCCACAGTCCCCTGACTTGGGAAATATTGTACTGAGGCCCCTTGTATGATATAAAGCAAAGTTTAAAAAAAAAAAAAAACAGAATTGGGAGAGAAAAATATTGAAGTTTATGTGATTTTTAACTTGGAAAAAGAGATTGGTATTCATAAGAGACTTTAGCTATATTGTTGGATAATAAAAATCATTTGAGCCGGGTGATAGTGGTGCATGCCTTTAATCCCAGCAGAGGCAGAGGCAGAGGCAGGCGAATCTCTGTGAGTTCGAGGCCAGCCCAGTCTACAGAGTGAGTTCCAGGACAGGCTCCAAAGCAATACAGAGAAACCTTGTCTGGAAAACAAAACAAAACAATCATTTGTATGTTATCAGTAATAAACAAAGGTATAAATATTAAAACTATAACATTTATAATAGCATCATAAAGTTACTTGAGGGGGGGTCTGGAGAAATGGCTTAGTGGTTAAGAGCACTTGCTGCTCTTCCAGAGGACCCGAGTTCAATTCCCTGCACCTACACGGTGGCTCACAAGCACCTGTAACTCCAGTTTCAGTGGATCTTATACCCCCTACTGGCTTCCACAAGCACCAGGCACACAAGAGGTGCATAGACTTACATGCAGGAAGAGAACACTCATACACATAAAGTAAATAAAAAAAAATTAATAAAAGCTCATGATTTTATTTTCCTCATAACAAAATCACCTTAGAACCTTTCTCCTCTTATCGCCTCTCAGTTGACACTCTTGCCTCTCTTACAGTCAGCATCCTCTTAGATCTGCAGTTGGGCTCAACATGGTCTTCTTTGTAGTTTTAGCCTGTGTTTCATAAAGTAGTCTTCGTCTGCCCACCATAGCCACTCTGTTTCCTGTTATAATGTGCTTTCCCTGGGCCTACAAAGAACCCTTGTCCTTGTACTGTGTCACCTTGTGGGGCTGGTGCTTACCAAATTTCTTGCAGAGTGTCGGGCAGGTCTTAGGAATGTTCACCATGTTGGCAGGAACAATATCAGCACAGAAGGAAAGAGGCAAGGCCAGCTAGCATTACTTGGGAAAAATTATAAACAGCGAAGATGGTATGATGTGGCTAGGTCCAACCTGGAAGTCTGTGTTTACAGTTGCATTAGATGAAGAATCTCTGACTTCGAGTAACATCAGGGTCTCAGGAAAGCCACAGCCAACCTGCCCTTCCTGGATGCGCCCCTCAAAGTGGGAAGGGCTAACGTACCAACAGCTATCCTGGCTGAGTGGCTTCAGTGTTTCAGTGTGGCCATTTTCCCCTTAAGAATTATCCCTTCTTTCTAGAGTGGTGTGGGCAGAGATGTTAACAGTTTTCCTCTCATTGGCCTGATAATCAGATCTCCTCTGAGGAATAGTGATGTGACAGCCTCAAAGGAGACTGACTTTCCAGGACCACAAACATGGGGACACAGTATTACACCATAGAAATCTTACAAAGAACTCAAGTGATCTTCCTGCCTAACCCTTCTGAGTAGCTAGGACTACAAGTGTGATTGACTTTGCACAGGAAGCCACTGCCTGCAGCCATAGGAGACTGGAGGGGGGGGCATTTTCAAATACTGCCAAAGCTGTTCTTGGAGGCCAGCCATTGGGGATTGACTCCTCTTGGAGTTTCATGCTCTCGGAAAACAAACAAACAAACAGATTCTCTAGGATACAGAAGCACCTTTTTCTTCTGTGGCATAGGCCACAGTAGAGGGTGACACTGAGCACATGCTGGGGCTGGGGCTGGAGAGATGGCTCAGCAGTTAAGAGCACTGGCTACTGCAGGGCAGTGGTGGCGCATGCCTTTAATCCCAGCACTGGGAGGCAGAGGGCACGCAGATCTCTGAGTTCAAGGCCAGTGGTCTACAGAGTGAGTTCCAGAACAGCCAGGGCTATACAGAGAAACTTTGTCTCAAAGGAAAAAAAAAAAAAAAATATATATATGAAATTTGCAGGCACATGGATGGAACTAGCAAAAACGACCACCCTGAGGTTATTGCCCAGACACAGAAAGACAAACATGTTATGTACTCGCTCATAAGCAATATCGGGAAAGCTGCACACCCCTGCATGGGATGCAAGCTCCTTTTATAGGAAAAAAACGCAGATCAGCATACGGGCAAGGGACACAAAGTGATTGATTACAAAGTATGATCTCATGTTAGAG